CTGGCCCCTGGGCTCCGGTCCCACTGCCCTAGGGGGAAGCAGGCCAGCGGAGACAGGAGGCAGGGCCACCATTCAAAGAGCTCAGCACCCCTGAGCTTTAAATGTCACTCCCTGTTTCCCAATGGCAGGAACAGACGCCTGGGCCGCTGAAAAGTCAAAGCCACCTCCTCAGGCCCAGCTCCAGCGCCCCAGTCCCACCATCACCTCCACGTCTGCCAGGCCCTTCCTTGGCTCTGGGATTGTACATGCAGATTCCTATCTGGAACAGCCAGGATTGCCAGTCCCACCAAACCCAACAAGCTCCTACAGCATGACCCAGCTCAAACACCCTCTTCCCTCTAAAGCAGCCAACCGGTGGTCCGTGAGGTCCGAAAGTCTGTCAACCTCTGCTCTAATGCCTTTGCTGACTCCTCCAGCGGAGACTATGGCTGGTTCCTTTGAGCTCCCAGGTCTCTCCTGTTCTGCTTAACACACCCTGCTGACCTGTTTGTGTGTCCATCACATGCCATGGACCGTGACCATGATGATAAGGACCAGGCCCTCCTCATGTTTGTGTCTCTGGCGTCCAACACAGAGCTGCCCATCCCCCAAACACACCCGAACACCTCCAGATCCCATCACCACACTGGTCTAACCTGGCCTAGACCAAACGCCCCTTACCGCACCAAACAGGATTTCACACAGAGTCAAACCATGAAGGTCCGTTTCACAGGGAATAGCCCAAGACCGAACCGGGTGCAGTATCTCCCCTGGAACCAGAAACACAAGCAGAAACCAGCTTTACTGAGAGCCTGGTCCGAGAAGTGGTGCTTCCCAAGACGGCAGCCAACAGAGTGTGACGTCAGAGGCCTGGCAGCCTGGCACCAGGCCCCACGTGCCCTGCTGGGCTAGTTTACCTTCGGGACCAGGCTATAAAAGCCTCCCTGAAAATGCAATTAGCACCCCGGCAGCTGACAACTACGAAGACCATGATAATGCCAGCAGGCAGTGAGTCTCCATCTGATCTCCATCTGAAGGGAAAAGGCATGGGAAGGGGAGGGGGGAGGGGGGAGAGGGAGGGTCTGAAAGTTTTCTGACGTGCGGATGGGCAGGGAAGTCTGACTCTGTCCACCCTCGCAAGCAGCCTTGCTAGAGTGTTTCTGCAACCTCAAACAAAACCACGAGGCCATGCATCCACCATGGACCTTCCTCCCACTGAAGTTTGGGGGATAATCTGCCCAAAAAAAAGCAAATTCGGGGGATCACAGCTGTGCAGAGCAGCTGCACAGGAAGCCAGAGTGCTCAGAGGTGCAGGTAGTTTGGCAAGGCCGACTGGCCTCCCGAGCAAGTGGCCACGGCACCAGCAACCAGGCACTCCTCTCTGCAGGCCCAGGGCCGCCGTCAGTGAAAGAAAAGATTCCAAAGTGATGAAGTGATCGGCCATAACCTAGTATTCGGTGTCACACAGCGGGTCAGGGACTGGTTCAAACCCCTTATGGGTCATTAAATCTTGGTAACAAGGTTTCCCTTTAAAATATACATAGTTCCTCATAATACTTGGAGAGAAGGCGTACTCTGCACCTGATCGAGTATAAGTCAGGAGGCCCAGCTGCTCCACATTCACTGATTGATGTCACCAATATTTATGTGCTGGGTGCACACTGCAGGAGGTACCTGCTTGGGAAGGAGTCAGGTGGTTCCTGCCCAACCCTGCACCTCTCTCTCCTCCACACAGCTATGCTGGCTCGACACCCCAGCTCCAAAGGGTTAATGCTCTTCTGGCCCCACCAGGCAAACTTAAGGCTCCATTTAGCACCAAGGTCATTGGTGCTGACCTGGCACTGTGACAGGGGACTGACCGCAATGTCCTGCTCCTCTGTGGCTGAAGGCAGGGTAAGGAGGAGAGGAGAGGACTAGGGATTGTAAAAAAATAATGCCACAGTGTTAGGTCCCAAGTTCGGTGTACCTAGGTGGAAAGCCCAGTGGGTTTCAGCTTAGTCAGGCGCATAAAGCTCAGCTTACATTCACTGAGCACTTACTGTAGGCAGAGCATTAGGTTATGCCCTTTACCTGCACTGTGTGAATCCCGGCCCTCCCCCTCCTTCACTATGTGACTTTGGCTAAACTGTATAGTCTCTGTGCCTCTGTTTCTTTGTCTGCAAAACAGAGTAAATAACAGTACTAACTTTAGAGCGTTGTTCTGAAGACGCAATGAGTAAAAAGCATCAACTGCTAAACCTGAACCATGTCCTGGCACAGAATAAGCACTCAGCACTAAAGTGAACAATTATTAGCCCTTTCGGTAGTCACACTGCTTTGCAGAGAAGGCAGGGCTGTTTCTGCTCGTTTTACCAATAAGGCTTTGAGAGACTGAGTCAACTTGCTCAAGGCCGCAGAGTTAATAAGTGGCAGAGCTGGGGCCTGAACCCTGGCAGCCTGACTCCAAAGCCCACAATCTTAAGCACCACTGTGAGCGTGGCACTGTGCTAGGTTCTAGGGACATAAGGAGCCGTGGGAGATGAACTAGGGACCCCTTTGCAGTGCAGTCCACACTACACGAGAGATTGAAAAAAAAAGGGCGGGGGGGAGCAGGAGGACTGGGGCTCCAGTAACGCGGAGCAACAGTCTGCAGGACCTGAAGAATGCTCCACCCACAAGGGGACTTGAGTTCTAGCCCCAAGAACGATGAGAAATTTGCCAGCCAACGAGGAAGGGAATTCCAAAAACACAGGGCCTAGAATAGCAGAAGAATAGTGAGTTGGGCCCCGGCTGGTTTGGCTCAGTGAATAGCTTGTCAGCCTACGGACTGAAGGGTCCTAGGTTCGATTCCGGCCAAGGACACATGCCTGGGTTGTGGGCTCAATCCCCAGGAGGGGGCTTGCAGGAGGCAGTCAATCAATGATTCTCTCTCATCGTTGATGTTTCTCTCTCTCTCTCTCCCTCTCCCTTCCTCTCTGAAATCAATTAAAAAATATATATATATTTTTTAAAGAATAGTGAGTTGGGTGGTATGGTAGGACGGGTACACACGGCATACCGTTAGGCTGGGAAGGTAAGTGGAGGCCAGTCATGAACAGCCATGTGTGCCAACATCAGAGGTTAGATTTTATCTGTGAGACAGTGATTCGTCAACTTTATTAGGGACAGGATCTACCTTCATAAAACTGGTGTAGATTCCCACCCCTGCTGTTAGCTCCCGACGGGGAGGGTCTTACGGGACTGTAGTAGCAAGGCCCGCTGGGGTTTTAACAACAGAATTCTCGCCCAGGAATGAAGGGAGACTGGGGACAGAAGCTCGTATAGTTGTCCAAACTGGAGCAGATAAGAGGATGAGAGCTGGAAATAATAGCGCTCTTCATGAACGGCTACATGATATCAGGGTTTCTCAGCCTCAGCACTATTAACATTTGGGACTGATCACTCTCTGTGCGCGGGGGGTGTGGGGGCGGGAGGGGGGCAGAGGCGGTTCCGAGCATCCCAGGAACTTCAGCAGCATCCCTGGCCTCTGCCCACCAGATGAAGACCATCCTCCCCCACTCACACGCAGACGGCCAAAAATGTCTCCAGACACTGCCAGATGTCACTGGGGATGCGAAAGCAAAACCCCCGTTGGGAACCACTGCTTTAAGCCCTCCCATTCCTATGTTACAGATGAGGCAACTCAGCCACAGCAAGGCCGCAGCCAGGACTTAAACGCTGGTGGTCTGGCTCCAGGGCCCGCACTCTCAGCCACCGAGCCTGACTGCCTGTCAGGCAGAGAGAAACCAAGGCAGCCTTCTGACGCGGAATTACAGATGTGGTGGCAGACTAGCTGAGGAGAAGAGGGTGGAAGCGTGAGGTTCAAAGGTGAAACCTCAGTGCTTGCTGGCCACTGAGCTGGGAGAATAGTAGGTACTGATACGTTTTTAAGATTTGAATAGAATCAAGATGTACTGGCTTAAAAAAGAAAAATCTTGGTCGTGTCCCCCTATCCCTCGACCCCTTCCTGATGTAAGCCAGCAAGAGGTGGTGGCGGGTTCCTGCTCTGTAAGACTGAGTGTGAGTGAATCTGTTCTACAAACCAGCTGGTCCCCAAATCCTGGCTGGGCCCCTTCCCAGCTGTGTGGCCCTGGCCCTGGGCTCCTTCGTTAACCTCCCAGCGTCTCGCTTTGCCCTTTGCAAAACAGGAATGCAAGTTCCTACTCTTGGACTCCATGTGAGAACTCAGGGACTTAAAAGCAAAATGCCAAGCTTCGCACGATGTGGTTACCCCCCACCCCCATCGCCTTAGGGGACCATGCTCATTACCTCCACGGCCCGGTGAGCAAGGTGAACGCTGGTATCCAGTACTCCTCTCCACCCCCCACCCCCACCTCACCCCCACCTCACCCCTAACACCCCCATCTCACCCCCACCCCACCCCCAGCCGCCCCAACCCAATCACTGCACCGTTCCCCACCAGCAGAGCGTCCCCCCAGGGCGTTAGGCGGCACTCGCAGCCTGTTCGCTCCCCAATCTGCTCTGAACGCGGGGTTCGGGGAGTAGGTCGTTGAAAGCGCGCGGAGAGCTGGGTGCCTCCCATAGGAGCCGGATGACTGAGTTCCACGTGAGCCGCGGGCACTTCGGGCAGGTCCGCACCCCCGGCCGCCCCGGCGCTGCCCCCGGGACCCAGCGCAGCGGGGCGCCGAGACCTGGAGAGCACCTACCCCGCGGCCAGGCTGCACAGGCGGCGAGCTGAGAGTTACTGGGTCCGAAAGAAAGAAAAAGAAAAAAAGAAAAAAAGCAGGGGGCGGGGGAAGCAACAGGAAAGTCGGAGGAAGAGGAGGCAAAAAGAAAGCGCTGGGAAGCAGAGTTCGCGGGTCGGGGGGTCTAGGGGGGGTACCCAGCCTCCAACACCTGGGCAGGGATGGGGACAAAGCTGCGGCTTCAAGGCAGAAGGACTCGGGGCGCCTCCGCAGAGGGGCGCTGGGGAGCCGCGGGGCGGGGGTTAGGGGGGATGCGGGGAGCCCCGCGCCCCGGGCGCGCTCTCGGGCGCCGCTTACCTTCGCCGGGGCCGCCCGCACGCACTTCCGGGGGCTGTGGCGGGGGGCGCGGGGCCGGGCCGGGGACCTGCCGCGGGTCCCCCGGGAGGAGCGGGGCTCCCCGGCGCTGGGGCTCGGGCCGGCGCGGGCGCCCGGGAGAGAAGCCCCAGCGGAGGAGCCCCGGGGGCGGCGCGGCGCGGAGAGCGGGGTCCCGGCCTGGGCGCTCGCCGGCGATCGCGCCGCGTCCCGCAGACGCCGGAGGAGCCGGAGTCAGTGGGAGGAAAAGGTTGTCTCATTTCCTTCGGTCTCCCCACTCCTCCGCCCCCTCGGCTCCGGACCTGCCCTCCCGCTCCCCCGCCCCCTTCCCCTCGCCGGCGGCCGTGTGGGCGCTGGGAAGACGCGGAACCTGAGCGGCGGCAGCGCGCGGCGCCTCCCTCCGCGCCGAGTTGGTTCAGACTCCCGGCCTCCTGCCCGCCTCCCCGCGCTTCCGACAGTCCCCGGGGCCCCGAATGTTCCCGGTCGGTCGGCAGTGCCCCCTGCCTGGGTGCCCTGGCCTTTTCCCGCTGGGATGAGCCCGGATTGAAAAGCAGAGCTCTCGGCGCCCGCCAGCATCCTTCCTCTCATTCCCGTGCCGCCGCCTCCTCTGAGCCTGTATTAAACCACTCTGCCCAGACAGGAAATAAATACTCACTTTGTTCAATCTGATCAACTTTTTTTCACCCCGGGTGGGGAGTGTAAAACCTGATGTATAATCTCGAAGGAGTGTTCATTTTGTTTGGAAGGAGAGCAGCTGAGGTCTTTGGCCTTGCTCATTCGAGTGGGGTTTTGAGTATTGAATGAGTATTGAAAGCCTAATAGGCAGAAAGGACCCAGAAGGGAATATTGTTCCTAAAATCGTCATAGGTGATTAGTGCAGACAGAGTTAGGCCGAGAAGTGGAAGAGCTTTCTGTGGAGTAAAGACAGCCTGGGCAGAGGCAAGAAGGCACGAGAAAGCCCCATGGGGAGGCAGTCCTGCAGAGTACCCAGCTGGGAAGGGATGGTGGGCAAAGAGGGGAGAGGATGTTGAACCAGTCCATCAAAAGAGCATAGAGCAGCACGAAGCAGTGGGGTAGCATTGATAAGACCTTGTGACCAAGAGCCTAGAGGCCCATGGTGACAGTGGGTGACCAGAAGCCCAGAGCATCTCTGGAGCTGCTACTTCAGGTATGGTCCTGGGACTGGTAATGTTGCCATCAACTGGGAGTGTTAGATATGGGGACTCTCCAGCTCCATTGGGTTTTCTGAGTCAGAAACTGCATTGTAACAAATCCCCAAGGATTCAAAAGCTCATTAGCATTTTGGAATCACTGACTGTATATTAGTGACTGCATATTAGAAACACCTGGAGAGATTTAAAAACCAATATGAGGCCTCTGCTCCACCCCCACAAATGCGTCTGTAATTGGTCTGGGATGGGGCTGCAACATCAGTGTTTTTTAAATGCTTTCCAGATGACCTAATATAGTCAGAGTGGAGAACCACTGTTCTGGACTTGGGTGAAACTACAATGACAAGTTGTAGCCCTAATACAGAAGCAACGGTCACCTGGAAAGGGCCTCTGCTTAGGGAACCAGATTCTAGCTTCAGATGGCCACTAAATTACTGTCTGAACTTGGATCAATACTCCCTTATCAGGCCTCAGTTTCCTTATCTGTAAAATACACATCTGACTAACTTTGCACTCTACCACCTGGGGTGCAAGGTGCCATCAGAGCTTCCCTGACTCACCAGCTTTATCAGTAACCAAGGAAACGATGGTGTTGAGAGGACGGTTTTCCTGGTGTAGTATTGTGTGTACCTGCCATGTACACAGCCATGCACGAACACCAGAGATCAAAGGATTGTGTGCCAAGCACAGGGCCACACACATAATTGGTGTTCAATAAATGTGTACTAAAAGAATAAATAAATAAATAGGGCACAAGTGCCAGGAGGTGGCATAGACTTTCTGTGAACTGGCCCCAATCCAGAGCCTATGCATTTGCCTCCGAAGCCAGAGGAAGGATATTTGGAAGCAGTTTGACCCACAAATCTAGCCTTGGATTTAAAACTACTGCATTATGAACTGCTAACACTTGTTGAATGCTTAGCACATACCAGTCATTGTATGTACTAATTTGTATGTACTCATTCTATATAATAAAAGCCTAATATGCAAATTGTCCTCCTTACCAAGAGTTTGACCACTCACTATGACGTGTGCTGACCACCATGGGGTGGCCTGGAACAAGGCAGGTATTGGCCATGTGACGCTGGCAGCAGGAGGCAGTGGAGGTGCTTCCAGCCCCAGTGGCTGTGATGGGGAGGGAGAAGGGGAGCGGGACTGCCACCCGGCTCCCAGGTGTTGGGGGCCGATGACTCAGGCAGAGGGGAGTGGGTGGGGGTCTGGGGGCCCAGGTGCTGCCCAGGGCCCAGAGGTCAGCTGGGACCTGCCCTTTCACACCAGACACTCACATTTCAATTGCCGGCCAGGCCTCAGGGCCACACCCAGGCATGACTTTCATGCACCAGGCCTCTAGTTCCATTATAATGATGAAGGTATTATTGAATCCTTGCATTCCAGCTGGTTTAAGAACCACAGAGATGGAGGATGTGAACTGCCATCTAGAGCAGCCTCTGCCTCTTGTGCAGCTGGACAGGTGGCCAGAGAGCCCCACTGGAGTGTCTTACACTATTCTCTGGAGCATGCATCCTCAAAGGAAGGGTTGTAGAATGACTATTGCAGGGCCCTTCAGAAACAGGTGCTCCCAGAGTTACCTGGGAGCCCATGGGTCACAGCGAAGCCTTGGAAAGGGACTCCTCAAAGCTACCCACTTCATGGGTGCACGTGTGTGTGTGTGTGTGTGTGTGTGTGTGTGTGTGGCTACATGAGCATGCACATACTGCCTTTTAGCCAGGGCCTCTTAGGTGCCAAACCTCAGTCCTTTTCAGATATGTTTCTTTTCATCCTCACAGCATCCTGACAGGTTAGGCACCCTGGTTTTCTTACTTTATAAATGAACTGGGACATCATGAGATGAAGATCTGTTTGTTGTTGCAACCCCAGTTTTGTGTGTCCGAGACACCATAGGCAACCTGCACATTACACTTAATCCTCACCTGGGGAGGAGTGTTTTGAAATAACATGTTGGGCTCCAGACCAGACCCGTTGAATCAGAATCTCCAGGGGTGGGGCTTTTTAAATTTATTTATTTTATTTTTTTCCCCTCTGCAGGTAATTATCACATGCAGTGAGGTTTGAGTACTGCTTCTATAGGAAATGCAGAGGCAGAGCCAAGGAGCTCATTCCAGTAGTGATCTCCATAAGTCACCAGGAAAAGAAAAACCTCAAAATCACTCCCTGGCCCAAAGCAGCCTAAGACAATGCCAGGCTGAGGAAACTTCTTGGACTTATCTCAACCTTGAGTGAGTGAGGTCATCCCCGCATGGCCAAAGGTAGGAATTCTCGTTCCATCTCCAGAAAGTACAAATGATTGAAACCAGAACCCTTGCCCCTTCTCCTATGGCACTGCTGTTTACAAGAAGCCTTCCAACACTCAGTGCTTATGAACTCCAGAAGTGGCCAGTGATCTCCAGGAGCAAGGCAGCCACGTGAACCGAGTAATGAGAGACCGAGGAAAGTCCCGCACGGCCCAGCTAGAGGCTAATGGATGTGCAGACAGAGACCAAGATGTCACCGTTAGTTATGTCACTCAGGTCAGTCAGGAGGCCAGGACTTACATGTTTTGCCCTACGGTCATTCCATATTTGTTCACCTTCGCAAAAGTAAGCTTGAAAAGAAAACGGGTACTTGTTTAAAATATTAGAGAAGCAGGACCATTTCTCTCTCCTTCCCTTCCTTCCTTTCTTCCCTTCCTTCCTTCCCTTTCTTCCATCCCTCCTTCTTTCCCTTCTTTCCCTTCCTCCCTCCTTCCTTCCCTCCTTCCCTCTCTCCCTCTCTCTCTCTTTCCTCCTCCCTTCCTTCTTTCCTTCCTTCCCTCCCTCCCTCCCTCCCTCCCTCTCTCCCTCTTTCTCTCCCTTTCCTCCTTCCTTCCTTCCTTCCTTCCTTCCTTCCTTCCTTCCTTCCTTCCTTCCTTCCTCTCACTTTAACCCACTGTTTCACTTTTCCCATTTCATTCCTCGGCCAAGTAATGGGATTTCTGTTAAGGTCCATGGATAGACGTTAACCAGGCAGCATTTAAATTCATTCATTCCATAACAGCCTGCTGAAATGGAACTGGTCATGTGATAGTCTTAGCCACTAACACCTCCTAGACACCAAAGGTCAAAGAAGACAGCACCGCCCATGTACAGTCCAACATTTTACAAGGCCTAATGGACGCCTTTAGTCACCAAATAAATCAATGCGGATGGTCGTGCCCTCTTGAAGTTCTAGTCTCAAGATGTAGACAACTAAATTATAAAGTCCATGTTCACCAGGCCTTCTGTTCCCTTTCGGGGAGCGACGTCTTTCCTGTACTGAGGTATATGAGGGGGTGCTGGGAACACCATGTCGGTTGTTCCAATGACGTTTTAATAGGAATAAAAATCCCAGAGAATATAAGTGCACAGCAGAGTCCCCACTGCGTTCCAATCACCTCCCCCACCTGTCTTAAAATGTTATGTGCCCAGAAGGGATGAGATAACGAGGAACAAGCATCCATTAAGCCCGTCTTCAGTCTACTTGGAAGTAGAAACTTATCTTTCATGGGGTTATTTCCTCCTGGCCCCCATCAGCAGACCAGAGACCTAACTACTCTTGGCTAAACCACTTTATCTTGCTCAGGGGTAATAGAGTAGAAATCAAAATATTTCCCTAGCCAGTGGCTGCTGCCCAGTACAACGTTACCTCTGATTAATGACAGGTTTTAAATCAAAACACACTCCCCAGTTAAACTGTAAACAGAGCTGAGTGTAAATTTTGCTTCTTTCCCCCCCCTCCATGTTCCATAGGGAGATTTCCATGCCCTGGCTGACACCTCCTCTACTTTTTCATCTTGGCCAACAAGGTTAAATAAGCAGAAACGTCACTTCAATAAATCATCCACACAAAACACTCCGTTATAACTAACAGGAAGCCACTGTAAAAAACGAGAGGTTTCAATCATAAAAAATAAATAAATAAATAAATAAATGAGGCACTGGAACAATAAAACATGCCCAGTGAAACGGCGAATAGTTGATTTTTAAGAAAAAGCATATTAGATCCCTACCAACACACATATGACCCTAAATCGCTGTCTGTTAGTTAAACGTGTCTCCTTTTATATTGAAAATACCGTGTTTCCCCGAAAATAAGACATCCTCCCAAAATAAGACCTACTTACATGTTTCCTTCTGAGTGAAATATAAGGCATCCCTCCAAAAATAAGGCCCCCCCTAGGCTAAACATGAAAGATTTGGTCCACTGATTCTGAAAGAAATGGAGTCACAAGAAATTCACCAGGAAATTCCGGAATTGGATTTTTATGATGATGTTTCAGAAGATGATGACATGATTGTCATTGAATAAATGAGTAAATTCTTGATATTGTAGGATCCACAGTTTGTCTGGTTTGTATTGACAACTACAGTACTACCATACCATATACAGGTAATAAATTTCCTTTATTTTCATTTAACAATAAATGTGTACCATATTCTTCTTCATGGAAAAATAAGACATCCCAAGAAACCAAGATGGCGGCGTAGGGTAGACACCCGAATGCAGCCTACCACAACAAATTTGAATTTAGAACTGAAAAACAGGGGAGGCATTGCCCTGAAGCGCCAGATGGCTGGCTGAGAGGAGGCTCTGCCATCTGGGAAGGAGAGAGAAGGCACGCTGAACCTCAGGAACTGTGAAGGTACGGAGAACTGTGTGCGTGAAAAGGCGCTGGCTTAATCCCGGTGCAGAGAGGAAGGGCTGGACCGAGATTGCTGCTGGCTTACTCCCTGCACGCAGAGAGGGCGGGCTGGGCTGAGTTCGCTACTGGCTTACTCCTGGCGCGGAGAGGGCGAACAGCTAACGCGGCTGGCTTTCTTGTCCGAGAGGAAAACAGAATCACCCTATTGCTCTGATAAACGGCCCCAGACAGGGAGAGGCCAGACTGTCAGGCAGTGGGCAGAGATCTCTTGGAGGTGTGTGAAGCCAGAGGCCATTACTGCGGAACTTGGGGAGGAGCCGAAGGGAAAACAAAGTTTGTCTGCACCAACCTGAGACTCCGCCCTACCTGTGGCTGAGCACAGAAGCTCTCCCAGAGGCTGGCTTTCTCTAAGGAGGGACTTGCAGGAATCCAAAGCTTGTCTGCGCCTTTACCAAAGAGGTGCGCGCGTGCCTGCAACCAATCTTCCAAAACTCTCCACGAACAGGACTTTTCTAAGGCGAGACTGACAGGGAACCAAAGATTGTCTGCGCCACCCCGAGACCCCGCCCTATTCAAGCAGAGTACGGAAACCCTCCTAGCTGAGACACTGCTGATCCTCACAGCCAATTGGCTTGGAGATCAACGCTTCCCAGTGATACCAACAATAAGCAAGGCTTAACAACAAGACTGCACACACAGCCCACAAAGGGCTACACCAAGACTGTCCACTGCAGGTAACTGGGAAGGCTGTGCTACTGGGCTCTACCAGAACACCTAGCACACAAAGCTATTCCATCAAGTCAGGGAAACAACTAAAATGCAGACAAGAAGAAGGACACAAAGGAAGGAGATGGAGGAAAAGAAAAGATTGGACATTGAGTTCAAAACTACAGTTATAAGGTTATTCAACAATATCCTAAAAAAGGCCGATAAAATAAATGAGACCTATGAGGATATGAAAAGGGAGCAACTAGAAATAATAAGGGATCAAC